AGGTTTGGTTCAGTTCTGGTGTCTGTAGGAGAGATGAAGGAAGCTTGGATCAGTCTGGTGTCTTGTAGGAGAAGAGGAGATACTTGGGTTCCTCTCTCCTTTATCAGGTGATGAACTTATGCCCTGAGAGGGCGTAAGGAGAATGAAAGAAAAGAGAGGAGGAAGTGCGCTAAAGAGATAGCTAGGGAGGTAGAGAGATCTAGTATGAAGATAGTATAGAGGGAGCGAGGAAGAGAGGTGGAGAGGGAGGAGAGCGCGAAGGAAAGAGAGCAGAGGGAGAGAAAGGGAGAGGGAGAAGGAGGGAGAGAGAAGAAGGAGAGAGAGAGAAGGAGAGAGAGAGGCAAGATGAGAGAGAGGAGAGAGAGACGGAGAGAGGCAAGAGAGAGAGAGAGATAGGAGAGAAACAGGAGAGAGAAGGAGAGAGAAGGGTAGAGGAGAGAAGAAAGAGAGAAGAGAGAGAGAAGCGAGAGAGAGGAAGAGAGCGAGTAGGCAAGAGAGTAAAAGAAGAGAGAGAGCGAAGAGAGAGAGAGAGGAAGAGAGAGAGAGAAGGAAGAGAGAGAGGAAGAGAGAGCAGAAGAAAGAGAGAGAGCAGAAATGAGAAAGAGAGAAGATAGAGAGGAAGAAGAGAAAGAGAGAAGAGAGAGAGGAAGAGAAAGAGTAGAAGAGAGAGAGGAGAGAGAGAAGGAGAGAGAGAGAGAGGAGAGGGGAGGAGTAGAGGAAGAGAGAAAAAGAGAGAGAGGAGGGCACAGAAGAGCGAGTGGAGAAGAGAAAGATAGAGAAGGGAAGAAAGGGGAGAAAGCGAGAGAAAAGAGAGAGAGAAGGAGAGGAGAGCAAATGAAGTAGAGAGGAAGAGAGGAAGAGGAGAATGAGAGAGGGAAGAGAGAGACAGGATGCTTCATTTTTTCGTTGGCCGTAGACAGAGCAGAAGCTTCTGTCCCGAGACTAAGCATGTCATCACCTCCTGACGCCAAATTACAAGAGAATGTCGCCCCTCCTTGAGACGAAGAAAGCCGAACCTGGCAGCACTGCTCAGCCGATACCCTCCACTCTCGTTTCCGTACGTATCGCTTCTACGCTGGTTCAAGGCGCTTCCACCTTACTATTGTAGCCGATCAGACACTTGGTTCTAGTCCGCATATGAGAGAGCACGGTAACTTCTTTAAGCGCTAGAAGAAAGAGCGAGAGAAGGAGAGATAAGAGAGGTGAATGTGAGAGCTTTCTGTTCTTCAATTTAATCTTCTTTCTATTTGACCAAACAACCATTTTGTAACGTATGGGTATCTCGGTGTAATTGTAGGGACAGGAGAAGACAAGGGAAACAAAGAGAGAAAGGAGAGAAAGAAAGAAGAAAGAAGAGAAGGTAGAGGAGAAGAGCAGAAGAGAAGCAAAGTAGAAAGCGAGAGATGGGGACGGGAGAGTAGAGAGGAGGAAGAGAGAGAGAGAGAAAGAGAGAGGAATTCGGAGTAGCAATAGTATAGAGATAAGGAGAGCGAGAAGAGAAGAGAGAGGGAGATTAATATAAGAGCTGTAGACTGTCTCTAGCTCTTCTATCGTCATAAGCGTATCGTCATCGCGCTATATCTGATTCATAGCTCTATTACTTATATATCACACCAAAACAAAACCCACCCATCTTATTCCTCTCCAGTTCTTTGAGTCCCATGATCTCAACGTTCACTCTGATTTCTTCAGTCAATTCTACCATAAGAAAACCTTGGAGAGCTTCTCCAGCCATGAGCCCTGGTCTAATCAAATTCGGACGCTTCGGAGGGAGAGTGAGGTGAGGACCTGTTTGGTGTGGTCAGTGATCAGTAGTGAGGGGAGCCGACAAGCCCCCTGTCGTGTCCGGGCTTGGCCTGGGTTTCGGGGACTCTTTGCCCGTAAGGCTGGGTAAGGGAATCCTGGGTCCTTCCAGTCTCCAGGGCCCCGGTCTTCGTGTCGGGGAGCTGGTTGTATTGAGGTACGATTGGTGGGAATGAGGGAAGGGCATGTTCTAGGGGAGGAAACTCCATCAGCTGTGGGGCGATGGTAAGGGAGGGGATCTTGTGAGGGGTGGGGAAAGGGATGGCGGGCGTACTTCTGTTGGTTTTGGTGTAGAGGGAAAGTGAGGGGGGAGGTTCCTTCTCCGAGATGGGTCCTGAAGGTGGACTGGGGAGGGCGGATACCGGACGAGTGGGGGAGTGAGGCCTTGTTTGTTGGGCCATGTTCTCTGAAGTAGGGTGTGTATTATTTGAGTACTGGGGACCCACCATCATTGAGCATAACGCCCAAACCGTCACCAACGTTCATCGTGTTTCGCTAGGCTGCCGTCCGGACCTCGCACGATCGCCAGCCCCTACGACCGCCGAGTACGGGGTTGGTCAATGCGTTTGCGCCGGCTCCGCTTACGCAGTCCCCCGCGGGCCGTCTTCTCATGCGTTCCCCGTCGTATCACTCCGCACATGGGCGTGACTGTTCTTCTCCGCCGGCCTGCTTCCTCGTGTCAGCACAGTACTCTCGCCATCTACGTTCCACCCCCCCCTCCGGTACGGCAGCTCCGATTTCCTGTGCCCACTGTGTCTGGAACCGCTCGAATCCTTTCTCCCAATTCCTGAGATCCCTCATATGTCCGTCTCTCTGGTGCCCCCTACCCCGCCGGAATTGCCGGCGTCACATCAGTTCCTCCGGCCTTATATGTGCCCCCCTTCTGGGCCAGACTCCCCCCCCTTTCCATGCGGCCTCGCGTTTCCCCCGACCTTTAGGTCGCCGGGGTCCGGCATCCCGTAGGTGGGGTTTTACCCCCCCTCTCCCCTCCTCCGCATCTCTCCCAAGCCCTCTCTACACTCCCCTTGCCCATGTTCCGTTCCCTACTCCTTAGCCCACCACCCCTTTTCTCCCTTTACTTATCGGGAGGCACTACGTTATCTCCTCTTTAGCGTTTGTCTTCCCATATCCAGAGGGCCGCGCTGAATTTTCGTCGTCTTTCCTTCTTCGCCCACCCCCTAGCTTGCTCTTCTATCGCCCTTTAATCTTTGCATGCTTGGCGCTTGGGTCCCTCTTTTAAGGACCTCAGTGCCCGTCCCGAATTCCACGTTTCTTCTCCCTCAGGGGCTTGCTGGCCCATTTTGAGCCGTAGGCATATGACCTCAGTGGCGGTACCGGTCCAGAGGTCCCTCGGATTGTTATAGAGACCCGACTCCGGCGGAACCTTGTGCTGTTTCGTGCTCCGGGCCTTGAACACTCACTCTCCTTGATGCCACCGTCCTTCCGATCCTTTACCCCAAACTTTTCTTAAAGGCCTATCCATTCTCCTCTCTCCTCCTCCGGTAGTATTCGCTACACTTCTTCCACTGAAGCACTACCTTCAATTGCAGTGGGGGCCGTTAGTCCCTCTCTTCTCCCTCATTGGACTCCTCCATACCCTCTCTGCCGCCCCACCACTCCGTCCACCCCGCTTACCTCTCCCCTCCCCACTAACCCTGGACGGTAACATTCAGGTAACAACTCCCTATGCCTTTTGTCCCCTGGGAGCAGCATACCCCGATAGCTGGTTGCCTCCTCTTCCTCCCTTAACCAAATCCTCCGCGCACGCTCACTGCACTTGGCTGTCCTTGCCTGCCTTCCTGCGTGGGGCGAGAACACCTTCCCATTCGGATCTTTCCTCCATTTTTGCTTAGTTATCGCACTTTCTCAAATCCCAGTCATCTATCCCACATCGCCGGGGTCCCATTGGCCCCGTGATGCACTACCGCAGGCTCCCTTCCAACCTACCCCCTGAATCCCCTCATTGACGTCCCACTCTACCTCCTTGAGCCTTCCTTGTCCTCCTTGCCCCTACTTACGGCACTCTGCCTATGTTCTGTCTATCTCCGCTACTCTCTGCGCCGCGCGGTCTGACGTCATTATACCACTGGTTAGTCCCGGGGTCCATTTCCTTCTCCCTCTCCTATCTCGACTGCGGTGGTCTTGCAGCCTCCCCTTCTTCATATGCTCCCCCCACCGTACAGTTCTCTCCTCCCCCCCACCGGTCTTCGCAAAGTCGGTCGACTGGGCGCGTTGCCGGTCTCCTCTCCGGAGATCCCGTTCCCCCCATGTATTACCCCTTCGTCGTCCATTTCGAGCGTGTGCTTCTCCCGGTGTCAGTCACGGTTAATCACCCCCTGAATCCCGCCTTTCCATTCCCTCAACGACCTCGAGTCGTTACATATAGACACCCCCTTAACCCTTCACAATTGGCCCTGACTTTCCCCCCGTCCTTTGCCCTCACTCCCTGGACTCTTGCCTGATTTTAAGGAGCGGGGCCTCTCCCCCTGCACGCCTCATTTCTTGCTTTACCCCGCATCACATACTGTACCCCCTCTGCACCATTCCCCTTTCGACACTTACCGTGGCGGTCGTGTACGCCCCGTGGCCACCTCCCGCCCTTACATATTTCCAGCTCATCCTGTCTTGCGGCCCCCCTTGCTGGCTATTCTCCGGGGCAGGTCGCACTCACCGGTGCCAATGCCTCCCCCTTCTCTAGGGCTTTTCCCCCGTACAAGTCCCCTGCTAGCCCCGACCCCCGGTTGAGCCCTGGCCCCGTTATTTCCGAGCGCTCTCGCTCTCCCCCCAACTATATTTTGCGCCCGACCCTGGTAGTCCGGCACCCCCCCCCCTCGTTCCTGGGCGCGAAAGCCTCCTCTAAGCGGCCGCACCACCCCGGAAACATTCCATCGAAGGGGCTCTCGTCTAACCTCGGGGGGCGGAAAGACCCCTCCCCATTCATCGAGCCACGCGGTCTTCAAACCTCGGGTCCCCGGGTCGTGGCTGCGTAAGGCCCCGCTCGCACGCATTTTCTACCCACTTTCGCTCCCTTCTCCCGCTTCATTCTTTGAACCCCCCGTGACCTGTCTCCCTTGTACACGCCGCTAATCCAGCCTGGGTACCGCAGGTGACAATTTGGCTGCCCACTTCCTCTTGTACGGTCACGGGCGCATCCACTGCTTTTTCGGTCTGTCTCCGACCGGCTGCTGCGTCTCCCCATGCGCTACTTCCCGGACCCAAAGCGTCTAACCCCCCCGGAAGGACCCGTGCTGACCCCCCCCCCTCCTCTCGGGGCTTTCACTGCCCGCACACTTCTGCTCTTGACCCCTACTTTCCTCCCTTTAAAGTTGTGCCTAACTGACGTGGCGCTGCCACGTCACCATAGTCTTTTGCTCCAACTCCGACCGGTAAGGGGCCGGTCCCCCTCTGGTCGCTCCCTTCGGCCCCTTCACCTATATCTTTAGCGGCCACCCTACCTCCCCTTTCCCCTTCCCTCTTGCTCCCTCGGCCCCCCGGCTCATCCACTCTTTCTCCCCACACATTTGTGCCCTTACTGTTACGTCCCCGAAGGTATCGTGTCCAAACTGATGACCTCCCCTTGGTTGCTTTCACCAGGTCATTTCGGGGCCGTTTCCCTGATCATCACCCGCGGACCGTCTCTCCTTTACGGACCGCTGCCCTTGCCTCCCACCCCTACCTTCCCTGCTTCGGTGCCCCCCGAGCTGGGGGCTCGAGCCCTTCGTTACGCGTTTTGGGCTGGGTATCGGGTCCGCGTGGGGGGAAGCGGAGGAGAGGCTGCCTGATGCCTTTGCTGGTGTGGGGTGACCGTCTTGATGTGGTACGCGTTGCGTTGTGTTGTCAGTGAGGTCTTGAGGGTGAGGGCCCTGTGTGTCTGTCTCTATGTAAGTGAGGGTGAGGCCCTGTGGTCTCTGTCTCTGTCAGTGAGGGTGAGGCCCTGTGTGTCTGTTGGTCAGTAGGTTGCAACGCCCATGTGTGTCTTGTCTCTGTCAGTGAGGTGAGGCCCGATGGTCTCTGTCAGTGAGGTGAAAAGGCCATGGGGTCTCTGGTCTGTCAGTGAGGTGAGGCCCTGGTGTGTCTCTGCGCTGTCAGTGAGCCCAGTGTGTCTCTGTCTCGTCAGTGAGGTGAGGCCCTGTGTCTCTGTCAGTGAGGTGTGTCTCGGTCTCTGTCAGTGAGGTGAGGCCCTGTATGTGTGTGTGTCTCTTCAGTGTGTTAATTGTGGTCTGTTCCTAAGCCCTGTGTTATCCTCTCTGTCTACAGAGTGTGGCCTACAACATCTATGAGATTCCCTTGTTCATCGTTTATGGGGGGGCTTATAGTAAGACTACACTTCTACTCTAGTTCTGTTGTTTTATAGCCTGTGGTTGGTTCTTCCTCTACAGTAGCGTTTAGAATTACCTTCACACAAGTGACATGAAAAAGGCAGAGGCTGGTGTTGTATTGAATCATATATGTGGTTGTCTTAGCTACCTTACTTACTCATACAGTGGGGGGAAAAAATATTTAGTCAGCCACCAATTGTGCAAGTTCTCCCACTTAAAAAGACGAGAGAGGCCTGTAATTTTCATCATAGGTACACGTCAACTATGACAGACAAAATGAGAAAAAATATCCAGAAAATCACATTGTAGGATTTTTTATGAATTTATTTGCAAATTATGGTGGAAAATAAGTATTTGGTCAATAACAAAAGTTTCTCAATACTTTGTTATATACCCTTTGTTGGCAATGACACAGGTCAAACGTTTTCTGTAAGTCTTCACAAGGTTTTCACACACTGTTGCTGGTATTTTGGCCCATTCCTCCATGCAGATCTCCTCTAGAGCAGTGATGTTTTGGGGCTGTCGCTGGGCAACACGGACTTTCAACTCCCTCCAAAGATGTTCTATGGGGTTGAGATCTGGAGACTGGCTAGGCCACTCCAGGACCTTGAAATGCTTCTTACGAAGCCACTCCTTCGTTGCCCGGGCGGTGTGTTTGGGATCATTGTCATGCTGAAAGACCCAGCCACGTTTCATCTTCAATGCCCTTGCTGATGGAAGGTTTTCACTCAAAATCTCACGATACATGGCCCCATTCATTCTTCCTTTACACGGATCAGTCGTCTGGTCCCTTTGCAGAAAAACAGCCCCAAAGCATGATGTTTCCACCCCCATGCTTCACAGTAGGTATGGTGTTCTTTGGATGCAACTCAGCATTCTTTGTCCTCCAAACACGACGAGTTGAGTTTTTTACCAAAAAGTTCTATTTTGGTTTCATCTGACCATATGACATTCTCCCAATCCTCTTCTGGATCATCCAAATGCACTCTAGCAAAACTTCAGACAGGCCTGGACATGTACTGGCTTAAGCAGGGGGACACGTCTGGCACTGCAGGATTTGAGTCCCTGGCGGCGTAGTGTGTTACTGATGGTAGGCTTTGTTACTTTGGGTCCCAGCTCTCTGCAGGTCATTCACTAGGTCCCCCTGTGTGGTTCTGGGATTTTTGCTCACCGTTCTTGTGATAATTTTGACCCCCACGGGGTGAGATCTTGCATGGAGCCCCAGATCGAGGGAGATTATCAGTGGTCTTGTATGTCTTCCATTTCCTAATAATTGCTCCCACAGTTGATTTCTTCAAACCAAGCTGCTTACCTATTGCAGATTCAGTCTTCCCAGCCTGGTGCAGGTCTACAATTTTGTTTCTGGTGTCCTTTGACAGCTCTTTGGTCTTGGCCATAGTGGAGTTGTAGTGTGACTGTTTGAGGTTGTGGACAGGTGTCTTTTATACTGATAACAAGTTCAAACAGGTGCCATTAATACAGGTAACGAGTGGAGGACAGAGGAGCCTCTTAAAGAATAAGTTACAGGTCTGTGAGAGCCAGAAATCTTGCTTGTTTGTAGGTGACCAAATACTTATTTTCCACCATAATTTGCAAATAAATTCATTAAAAATCCTACAATGTGATTTTCTGGATTTTCTTTTCTCAATTTGTCTGTCATAGTTGACGTGTACCTATGATGAAAATTACAGGCCTCTCTCATCTTTTTAAGTGGGAGAACTTGCACAATTGGTGGCTGACTAAATACTTTTATTCCCCACTGTATATGTGGTTGTCTCAGCTACCTTACTTACTCAGATATGTGGTTGTCTTAGCTACCTTACTTACTCATATATGTGGTTGTCTTAGCTACCTTACTTACTCATATATGTGGTTGTCATAGCTACCATAGTACTACTCATACAGTATATGTGGTTATCTTAGCTACCTTAGTTGAATGCACTTGACTGTAAGGCCCAATCCCGAATGGACCCCTACACCCTATGCGCTTGTGGAGATCTGAGGGGATTTGACCGGTGTAAGTAATATGGTAATAGCTCCAAACCTGCCTTCTGAAGGTAGGGAAGTTGAACCTATTGCTTTTTACCCAAACAAACCTCTAAAATTCCACAAATGCATGGGGGTTTGGGGGTCCCTTTGGGGTGGGGCCCCAGTTTTAGGATAAGAGGTTGTAAATGACAAAAAGAAATTTTTATTTGGGGTTTATTGTTTCCCCCCTTTTTATATGTCCCTTTTTAAACAGGGGGATTGGTAGGAGCACTGTTTAATATCCTCAACTACTGGTTGAAATATATTTTAGGATTTAGGTAAAATGTTCCAAATCCTTTCCCCTTACTGGTTTACTAATTCAGGACCCGGAAAAGGTTTAAAATCCTAAAAAACTGGTGGACTATATTTTAGGGTCAGGTAAAAGTTCAATATCCTCAAAATACGGGGGTGGGGAAAATTTTTAATGAACGGGAGAGGGTTTTTTGGACTATGAGGTAGAACGGGTTTTAAACAAAAAGAAAAAAGTTGAATTCTTTTTACGGGCCCGGGGAAAAATATTTGGGTTTATTTAATTTTAATGTGGGGGGTGAGGGGGAAGAGGGAATCTTTTTCCCCTGGGGTTTTTAAAAAAATTTGGGGGTTTTTCTTTTTTTAACCTTAAAAAACCATTTAAAGAGGAAAAAATATTTTTAAGGGTGGGAGGGAGGAAAAAAACCCCCTTAAAAAAAGGGGGGGGTGGGGTTTTGGGGGGCCAAAATCCCCGAAAACTGGTATCGGCTTTTGAAAAATTTAATAAAAAATGTCGGGTGCCCAAAAAAAACTCCCGTAAGACCTTATTTTTTAAATAAAATATAGTGGTAGTTCTTTTCCAAAACAAACTTAGATAGGGTTTTCTAGGGAGGAGTGGAATAGAAGGTTGGGGGAAATGTTGGGGGAAAACAGGGGGGGTTTGTGGGGGAAAACCAGGTGTGGGGGGTGGGTTTTGGGGGTAGGGCAGGTTTTTGGTTTGTTGGACTAGGGCGGGTTTGGTAGGGTTGGACAGAGGGGTGGTAGTGTTTTATAACAGGTGTTTTATGTAGGTAGGTTGGAAGACAGGTGTTTTTTGTATGTAGTTTGCGACTAGGAAAAGGGTTTTTTTAAGGTGCCCGGGGAGTATCTGAGATTTAACACATCTAAGCTTCTTACTTTTAACCTGCAGGCGTGGGGGTTTCAAAAAAGACACTAAAGCTGTCATTTTGGTTTTTTCCTAAAAAGGGAGGAGACTTTTTGGGAAAAGGGCCTTTTTAGTTTTTCCTTGTTTAGTTTTTTTTTGTTTTTCCCCCCCTGTGCTTTGTTTAAAAATAGGGGCATTCTGGGTTTTAAAATGTTTTTCTGGGGTTTTTGTTGGGGTTTTGTTGTGGGGATCTTTGGGGGTTGTTTTGGGGGTGTGGGGTGTGTTTCAGGGAAGGGCCCGGCCCCGTTCCCGGGATGGAAGGCCCTGCTAGTTGGGCTAAAAGGGACGGGGCGTCCCATGATCATTTCTCTAAGGGCGTAGCCCTTTGAAAACCCCACCAGTAGAGGACCCACCCCTGCAGGACACGCGCCCACTCTCTCACTCTCTCACCCAATCACTCATCAATCAGCACTCGCTTACACACTCACACCCTTTCCCCTCTGGTTTTAGTTTGTTTGGGGGGATGGGAAAAAAAACTCCCCGGCAAGCCTTTTTTTTAAAAAACCCCCCTGAGAGGAAAGGGCCCCAGCTCCCTTTCCCAAACCCAAAAAAAGGGAAGAAGTGTGGGGTGGGGCCGGGGGATTAAACCCGACCAGTGGGGTTTTTTAGTGCCTGTGGGATTTCATGTGAGGGGCCCCCCCCAAGGGTTAAAATAACTGACTGCTTAAACCCAAAATTTTCCCCTTTTAAAAAAGGCTAATTTACTTTAAAATGTTTTTTTTTCACTAGAAAACCAATTTCCCAAAGGGGAAAATAATTTGGTTTTTAAATTTTATGAATGTAAAAAAGTTTGTTAATTTCATTTTTCTCTCTCTTCTGGTTTTCCTTGTTTTTTTTTTTGTTCCTTTTCCCCCCCCCCCCTTTTCAAAGGGTTTGGGGGGGGTCCTGGGTTTTCTTTCTCTTCTTTTTTTCTCTCTCTCCCTCGGGGGCTTTTCCTCGGGTTTTCCCTCTTTTTTCCCCTTCTTTCCCCCTCCCTTCCCCCAGGTTTTAAAAAACCCTGCTTGAGTGTGTTTTCGGTTTAACCCATTTTTCCCCCCCGGCCCGTTGGGCCTTTTGGGCCTGAAGGTCTCAGCTTTGGGGGCTTCTCCCAAACTTTCTTATAGGAGCTCTGGGGACGACGTTTGGAATATGTGGTTCTATCACGCCTAACGGATCGGTGGGTTGGATTATGGGGGAACCAAATTTTGGGGGTTAAAAGGGATATTTTGGGGTTAAGGGCATCATTTGGGGGGGGTTTAGGGGAGGGGGATCTTTGGGGGGGTTTTAGGGCACGTTTGGGGGGATGGGCCTTGGGTTGGGGGGGGCCCTTTTTAAAAGGGCATCTTGGGTTTCCGGTTGGGGGGTTATAGGGGCACGTTTTGGGGGGTTTTTAGGGCATCGTTGTTTGGGCCTTTTGGGGGGGTTTTAAAATGGGGATCGTTTGGGGGTTTTAATTTTTGGGCATCGGGGGTTAAATTGGGGGGGTTTTAGGGCATCGATGGGGGTTATAAAGGGATCAGGGGAAACCCCCTTCCCCGGTGGTTAAACCCCCCCGTAAACTTGGTTTAACACTTTGGGGGGGGGGGGGGGGGGGGGGGGGGGGGGGGTTTTTCCCAACCCCGTTTAATCCCCCAAATATCAACGGCCCAAAATATTCCCCAAATTTTTAAAATGGAGTGTGGTGTGGTGTGTTGGGGGTTTTGGGAAAATTTTTGGGGCCCTTTCCCGGGAAAACCCCTTTAATAGAAACCCGCAGCACAACGGGGGGAGTTCCTTCCTGGAGGGTTTTACCCATGGTTTTAAAGGGTTACCAATTATCAGTTTAAAAAAGTTTTATGTTCATTTTCCCACGCTGGAGAAAAAACCCCCGGTTTTTGAGATGTTTTTCATGAACTGTTTAAAAGATAGGGTTTTTAAACAGATTTTTTAAAGTAATAAGTAAAATACCTTCCCCTTCTCTGGGGGGGGCCCTAGTGAGAAAAGACTTTTCGTTTAAGCATTCTGGGTAGTAGTAGAAAATTTTGTGAGGGAGTAGTGTAGGGTATAGGTGTTATTTTATATCGGGTTTTTAAAAAATAACTGATGTTTTAAAAAATCCTCCCCTCCCCTTTGGGGGGCCTAGTGAAAAGACTCCCCCAGTTTAAGTCATCATGATTTTTAAGTTTTGATTAGGGGGGTTTAAATAAGGGGGATATAGGGGGGGGGGTTAAATATAATATATAACCGTTGGGGGAAAAAAAATTTTTGAGGACCGGAAGTTTCCCCAAAAAAAAATTATTTTTATAGGTTTTAAATAAACCTTACAGAAAATTGGAAAAAAAAAAAAGGAAAAAAATTTTTGTAATTTTTTAAATTTTTTGGGGGAAAAAAGTAGGACATTAAAACCCAAAATTTTGGGCTCACGACCCGTATTTTCTTTAAGAGGATTCCCTTTTTTGTTATTATTAAAAATTTTTAATTTAAAAAAGTTAAAAAAAGAATGTAAAACCTCCTCCCTCCTATTGGGGGCCCAAAATGAAAAAAACCCCAAAAATTTAAATCACATGGGTGAAGCAAAGGAAACGGGGACAAAAGGTCCTTAACCCTTTTGGGGAAAAAAAGACCAAAAAACCCTTAAAGCTGGGGCCCGGGCTACCCCGGGGGAAAAAAAACAAATTGGAAAAAAGGAAAGGGGGTGGGGGGCTGGGCCAAAATAAAAAATTCCTATAAAATGGAGGGCCTTCTAAAGGGGCCCAACTTAGGGGCCTTTTTTGGGGAAAAAAAAATTTTTTAAAAATAAAAACAAAAAGGGTTTCCCCCCGGGGGGGGCCCCTGGTTTGGGGTTTTAAAAAAATTTTAAAAAAAGAAAGGGGGGCCTGGGGAAGGAAAATTGTTTAGCAACTGGTTAAAATTTTTCCCTAAGAAAAAATAAAAATTGGAAAGAAGGATTTGTGGGTTCAATTAATGATTAATTTAACCCCTGAAAAATTAAATTTGGTTTTACAAGTATCTTGTAAGGAAGGGGAATGGGGTTTCAGTTTGGGGTTAATGTTTAAAAAGAAAAAATTTTAGAAAAAAAAAAAGTATTTTGGGTTTTTTTTTTTTCGGGAAGGGGCCCCTTTTTTGGGGTTTTGACAAAAACCCCAAAAAAAAAAAAAAAAAAAAATTTGAAAAAATAAAGCCCCCCAGGGGGAAGTTATTGTTTCTTTTTTAACAACAAAAATTAGGAATTTTTGGGGGTTTATTTTAACCGAAAAATTCCAAAAAAGGGGTTTGTAAAAAGGGGACTTTTTGCGGGATTGGGGCCGGGGGGCCTTTAAACAAAACAAAATAAAAACCCGCAAAGAAGTTTTGGGGGTTGGACGGAACCCTTGGGGGGGGCCTTAAATTCTCCGCCCCGGTTTTTGGTTGGCGGGTTTAGCTTTAAAAAAACCCGGTGGTTTTTAGGTGGGGGAAAAATTTTCCTTTTGGGGCATCCAGGTTTTTGGACCCGTGGGCTGGGACAAGGGGAAAGTCTTGGATCACGTCGTTCAATATCTGTGGGGTTTTTAGAACCCTGTGTTTTTTTAGGGTTTTTGTAGACATCCACATCAAGCCCGCAGGTTTCCCTTTTTTTCACTGGGAGGGGCCCCCCCCACCCCCACTGGCTAAAAGCCAGGTAAACCCCTCTCATTGGCCGAATGCAAAGTAAGCCAAATTTTCCCATTTGCTTACTGGCCGATGAGCCCGTTTCCAAATTTGGTAAAAGCGTTTATCTGCCCTCTGAAACCCCACCACTTTTCTTACTTTTTCCTCTCCTTCCATTGTGTCTCTCTCTCTTTTTCTCTTCTGGTTTTCTGTTTTTTTCTCCTCTTGTTTTTTCCCTTCTCCCTCCATCTCCTTCTCTCTTTTTTCCTTCGTCTTTTTTCTTCCCCCTCCCTCCCAATTTGCACTTTTTCTTCTATCTCTTAAACGCGCTCTCCTCGCTCTCTCCCTTTATCTCCCCCTCCCCTCTTTCCCCCAAACATCTATTTGGGCCCTTTTCTTCATTTCCCTTCTCTCGGGAGGTGAATTTAGGGCTCCAGCCCCCTGTTTTAAAAAAGTTTAGAAAAAGGGTTGGGGACCATCGTGGACGGGCCCTTTGCAAAACCCCACCAATCAAAAAGGCTTTCCCCCGTCGTCCCCTCGGTGCCCCGGGTAGGACGAGGATGGGGAAAACTCCGCCCAAAACATTTTTGTCTATAATTGGGGTTTTACTTTTAATGGCTGAGAAAGGTTTTATTTTTCTTGGGAAAGTCTATGACTTATTCATCCCGTTTTTCTCTTCCTTTTTATTACTCTTAACCGCTCCTTTGCCCGGGGGAAAATCTGTGGACCCCCCAATTTTCCTTCGTTTCTCGATTTTTATAAATAATTTTCTCCAAACACCAAAAAGGTTACTTTCTTCCCTGGGGGGTTTTTTAGGTTTTTTCCCTTTTTCTTCCGAGGTTATATGGCATCGTATGGGTGGTTATAGGGCATCGTTAGGGGGGTAAGGCATTCTTATGGGGGTTAAAAGGGCATATTCCTTGGTGGTTACCCATAGTTACCTGTTTTACAATTTGGGGGGGTGGGGGTGGGTTGGGTCTGCTGCATACCTGTTGGCTCTTCAACTGCTGCATTAACTATCACCGGCATTGCATAGTACGCTGGCCAGATTATTGTCAATAGTGTGAGTGTGTGTGTATGTGTGTGTGTGTGTGTCAGATTTGGGCCGTTCCAGGGAAGTACGCTTTAATAGGAGCTGCAGCACAACTGGGTGAGTATCATTCCTGGAGCTCTACCTATGGTTTAGAGATGTTACTCAATCTATCAGTTAAACAGTTCATGTATCATTCCTATCAGTCTGGAGCCATACCTATGGTTTAGAGATGTTACATGAACTGTTTAACTGATAGATTTGTCATCATGCATTTTAATGTAATAATGTAATATATCCTCCTCTTCTCTAGGGGGCATAGTGAGAATGACTCTCAGTTTAAGTCATCATGATGTATTAGTAGTAGATATAGTGAGTAGTAGTAGTAGATATAGGTGTGTATATATATACTGTTTTAATAATAACTGATGTAATATATCCTCCTCTCCTCTAGGGGGCATAGTGAGAATGACTCTCAGTTTAAGTCATCATGATGTATTAGTAGTAGATATAGTGAGTAGTAGTAGTAGATATAGGTGTGTGTATATATATATATATATATATATATCTATATATATATATATATATATATATATATATATATATATATATATATATATATATATATTGTTTTAATAATAACTGATGTAATATATCCTCCTCTCCTCTAGGGGGCATAGTGAGGATGACTCTCAGTTTAAGTCATCATGATGTATTAGTAGTAGATATAGTGAGTAGTAGTAGTAGATATAGGTGTGTGTATATATATATATATATATATATATACTGTTTTAATAATAACTGATGTAATATATCCTCCTCTCCTCTAGGGGGCATAGTGAGGATGACTCTCAGTTTAACAGTCATCATGGTGGAAGCAACAGGAAATGTGACTTACGGTCTCCCCATCATGTTGGTGCTGATGACAGCCAAGATAGTAGGAGACTACTTTGTGGAGGTGAGTCTGCAGTACAAATACTATACTGACTTAAAGGGGCAATATGCTGTGGGAAAAACAAGGGTCCCCGCCACTGTTTTGGTAAAAAGCTGAGAGATGGGCCTGAAGAAATGTTAGCACTGTTAAATTCATAGACACAACTATTGATGCAAGGAGTGACCATTCAAGATATCAACATGATAGTTTTAACCATATGTAGAGGCTGTACAGTGTTAATGTTTACAGATATTAGACTAGCTTATCGTTTGTTCTGATGGGGTACAACAATTCAATTGATATAAGCTCATGATGCAAGTTATTTTCTTCAACAATCAATTAGGATTGATTATTAATCTAGAAATCCAAAAATGGATGTAGCATCTGCGGATTGCGTTAACAGCAATATCCCGTCAATGAAGTGCGTTGGAGGATGGGGCTAAACTTCTCCGCTGTCTTGGTGGCGTAGCTACCACGTTGTAGCAGCCTGAAGCACTCCTGTGGACATGCACAGATACTGACTGTGACTGGGAGTAAAGTCTTGCATCACGCTCGTCTCAATATCTGTGTGTGTAGTAATCCATGTGTTTGTTTCTTAGGGTCTGTATGACATCCACATCAAGCTGCAGAGTGTTCCCTTCCTACACTGGGAGGCCCCCGCCACCTCCCACTGGCTAACAGCCAGGTAAGCCCCTCTCTCATTGGCCGACTGCCAAGTAAGCCATTCTCCTATTAGCTTACTGGCCGATGAGCCCGTTTCCCATTGGCTAACTAGCAGTTGATCTTGCCCTCTGACCTCACCACTCTCTTCCTCTTCTCTCTCTCCTTCCATCTCGCTCGCTCTCTCTCTCTCTCTCTCTCTCTGTCTGTCTCTCTGTCTCTCTCTCTGTCTCTCTCCCTGTCTCTCTCCCATCTCACGCTCTCTCTCTCTCTCTCTCTGTCTGTCTCTGTCTCTCTCTCTCTCTCTCTCTCTCTCCCATCTCGCACTCTCTGTCTCTCTCTCTCTCCCATCTCGCGCTCTCTCTCGCTCTCTCCTTCCATCTCTCTCTCTCTCTCTCTCCCAATCTATCTATCTGGCCTTCTCTTCATACTTCGTCTCTCTCAGGGAGGTGATGAGTGCTCCAGTCACCTGTTTTAAACGTATAGAAAAAGTTGGCACCATCGTGGACGTCCTTAGCAACACCTCCACCAATCACAACGGCTTCCCTGTCGTCGTGCCGGTCGCCGCTAGCGACGATGTATGGAAAGCTCCGCCTGAAGGCCATTATTGTCTTATAATTGGGCTTGACTTCTAATTGGCTGAGAAAGTTCATTTCTCTCTGAACTGTCTATGACTTATTCATCCCTGCTTTCTCTCTTCTCTTTCATTCATCTCTTCATCCGCTCCTCAGCCGGGGAAGATCTGTGGACTCATCCTTCGTTCTCAGATCATCGTTCTGCTCAAACACAAGGTGACTGTCTGTCCCTGTCTGTCCTGTCCTGTCTGTCCAGTCCTGTCTGTCTCTATTAATCTCTCTCTCTCTCTCTCTCTCTCTCTCTCTCTCTCTCTCTCTCTCTCTCTCTCTCTCTCTCTCTCTCTCTCTCTCTCTCTCTCTCTCTCTCTCTCTCTCTCTCTCTCTCTCTCTCTCTCTGTCTCTCTGTCTCTCCCCAGGTGTTTGTAGAGCTGGCTCGATCCAGGTTGACCCAGAGGAAGCTACAGCTGAAGGACTTTAGGGATGCCTACCCTCGCTTCCCCCCTATCCAGAGTATCCACGTATCACAGGATGAGAGGGAGTGCATGATGGACCTTACAGAGTTCATGAACCCTACACCCTACACCGTACCACAGGTATATACAGTGCCTTCAGAAAGTATTCATAGCCCTTGAATAATTCCACATTTTATTCTTACACCCATCTAGACACAATACCTCATTATGACAAAGTGAAAACATGTTTTTAGAAATGTTATTAAAAAAAAAAATGAAATACAGAAATATCTCATTTACGTAAGTATTCAGACCCCTGAGTCAATACTTTGAAGAAGAACCTTTGGCAGCGATTACAGCGGTGAGTCTTTCTGGGTAAGTCTCTAAGAGCTTTCCACACCTGGATTGTGCAACATTTGCCCATTATACTTTTCATAATTCTTCAAGCTCTGCCAAATTGGTTGTTGATCATTGCTAGACAACCATTTTCAGATCTTGCCATAGATTTTCAATCCGATTTTAAGTTAAAACTGTAACTCGGCCAGGAACATTCACTGTCTTCTTGGTTAGCAACTAGTGTAGATTTTGCCTTGTGTTTTAGGTTATTGGCCTGCTGAAAGGTAAATTCATCTCACAGTGTCTGGTGGTAAGCAGACTGAACCAGGTTTTCCTCTAGGATTTTGCCTGTGCATAGCTCCATTCCATTAATTTTTTTATCCTGGAAAAACTCCCGGTCCTTAATGATTACAAGCATACCCTTAACATGATGCAGCCACCACTATGCTTGAAAATATGGAGAGTTGTACTGAGTAATGTGTTGTATTGGATTTGCCCCAAACATAACACTTTGTATTCAGGACAAAATATGAATTGCTTTGCCATATTGCAGTATTACTGTAGTGCCTTGTTGCAAACAAGATGCATGTTTGCAACCATTAGGTTAGTATTGTGGAGTAACTACAATGTTGTTGATCCATCCTCAGTTTTCTCCTATCACAGCCATTAAACTCTGTAACTGTTTTAAAGTCACCATTGGCCTCTTGGTGAAATCCCTGAGCGGTTTCCTTCCTCTCCGGCAACTGCGTTAGGAAGGACGCCTGTATCTTTGTAGTGACTGGGTGTATTGATACACCATCCAAAGTGTAATGAATAACTTCACCATGCTCAAAGGGATATTCAAAGTCTGCTTCTTCTTCTTTTTTTATCTACCAAAAGATGCCCTTCTCAAATCAAATCAAATTGTATTTGCCACATGCGCCGAATACAACAAGTGTAGACATTACAGTTAAATGCTTACTTACAGCCCTTAACCAACAATGCATTTATTTCTTAATAAAAAAGTAAAATAAAACAACAACAACAGAAAAGTGTTGAGAAAAAAAGGTGGCTGGAGTCTTTGACAATTTTGAGGGCCTTCCTCTGACACCGCCTGGTATAGAGGTCCTGGATGGCAGGAAGCTTGGCCCCAGTGATGTACTGGGTCGTACGCACTACCCTCTGTAGTGCCTTGCGGTCGGAGGCTGAGCAGTTGCCATACCAGGCGGTGATGCAACCAGTCAGGATGCTCTCGATGGTGCAGCTGTATAATTTTGAGGAATCTGAGGACCCATGCCAAATCTTTTCCGTCTCCTAAGGGGGAATAGGCTTTGTCGTGCCTTCTTTGAGGGACCTTACAGATAATTGTATGTGTGGGGTACAGAGATGAGTAAGTAGTCATTGAAAAATCATGTTAAACACTATTATTGCACACAGAGTGAGTCCATGCAACTTATTATGTGACTTGTTAAGCAAATGTTTACTCCTGAACTTATTTAGGCTTGCCATAACAAAGGGGTTGAATACTTATTGACTCAAGACATTTCTGCTTTTCATTTGTAATTATATGTACAAATTACTAAACATAATTCCACTTTGACATTATGGGGTATTGTGTGTAGGCCAGTGACCAAAAGTCTGAATTTAGTCATTTTTTAAAACTGTAACACAACAAAATGTGTAAAACGTCAAGGGGTGTGAATACATTCTGAAGGCACCACACACACACACACGCACACAGAGTACACACTTTTCATCATCACCCCTCTCTCTCTCTCTCTCCTCCCCCCCCCCCCCCCCCCAGGAGACGTCTCTTCCTCGTGTGTTTAAGTTGTTCAGAGCTCTGGGTCTCAGACACCTGGTGGTGGTGGACAATGAGAACAGGGTGAGTTACTGTGTGTGTATGCATGTGAGAGTATATAAGCTGGTGTGTATACGTTCAACGATATAATGTTCTATGTGTTAATAGAATATATTCAATATTTTGTTAACAATTCATTTTTCTACAAATGGCATCCTAATTCCCTATATAGTGTACATATGCCATTTGGGACCAGTCCTTGTTCTCTAATAATAATACATTCAATTAGGCTGTGGCTGCAGATCTGACTTTTCGGGATCTTTAGTCTGCTGCATTAAAAGATCCTGAGCTTCCTGAAGCTTCTGAGCATGTGTGGATCACGTTCTGTGCATATGCTCCACTTTAGGCGTAGAGAACAGGCTACACAGGAGAACGGTGCTGTTTTAATAACGTTAGATCAAGCTGAATCAATGTCTGCAAGATCACATAATGATCACAGTATTCTACATAACACAACCCAATATAATAGCATAGTATAGCTTTACTGGAAGACTAAAACACATTCAAGTTCTACATCCATGCAGCATAGTAACCATTCGGTCAGTTTCATGGGGATATGCATTTAGATCTTCTCGAGATATACAGTCAGTTTCATGGGGATATGCATTTAGGTCTTGAGTTATACAGTGTTGATTTGAAGTAGCATACAGTGTTTACCATAGCCTACCTACCTGTGTATTTAGAGCAGATGGTGTTAGTTGTAGCATAGCCTACCTACCTGTGTATTGTAGAGCAGATGATGTTAGCTGTAGCATAGCCTACCTACCTGTGTATTGTAGAGCAGATGATGTTAGCTGTAGCATAGCCTACTTACCTATGTATTGTAGAGCAGATGATGTTAGAGCCGATTTGGGCATATTTTGTATAAAAGACTGAACATACTGAGCTCCATGTACATTTGTGTAAATATATTAAATATTAATGTATATGATGAAATATTAGGTACGTACCTTTATGATTTATTTACCGGATTGAGATATATTCATTTGTTATTAGTGTAACTCAGTTTTTGGCCCCCCCTCTTGCCCATTCATTGTACTGTGTTAATTGTGTTAGTATAAAGGCAGGAAGTTGGGCCTTCGGGGGGAGGAGTCCTTGCTAGATGCGGGAGCGGTATAGTTTTTTGACCATATAGACATACAGAAATACAGACAGACAGGTCATATTATATTATGTATTTGCATTTCAAGTAATCTCTGCTTTAAGTTGATTGGAGAATACCTTTTTGTTAGATAAGAAGAATAAACATTTTTTGTTGCACTATATCCCTGGATCTCATTGAATGTTTGGCCGTTTGGAAACGTTGAGTGTGGACTGTATGCGTCCGAAACAACCCCGCTTCAGGCTAGGGCAGTGGCTATGGTAAAGAGGAAAGGAAGCCACTACAGATGATGTTAGCTGTAGCATATCCTACCTACCTGTGTATTGTAGAGCAGATGGTGTTAGATATAGCCTACCTACCTGTGTATTTAGAGCAGATGGTGTTAGCTGTAGCATAGCCTACCTACCTGTGTATTTAGAGCAGATGGTGTTAGCTGTAGCATAGCCTACCTACCTGTGTATTGTAGAGCAGATGGTGTTAGCTGTAGCATAGCCTACCTACCTGTGTATTTAGAGCAGATGGTGTTAGCTGTAGCATAGCCTACCTACCTGTTAATTTAGAGCAGATGGTGTTAGCTGTAGCATAGCCTGCCTACCTGTGTATTTAGAGCAGATGGTGTTAGCTGTAGCATAGCCTACCTACCTGTGTATTTAGAGCAGATGGTGTTAGTTGTAGCATAGCCTACCTACCTGTGTATTGTAGAGCAGATGATGTTAGCTGTAGCATAGCCTACCTACCTGTGTATTGTAGAGCAGATGATGTTAGCTGTAGCATAGCCTACCTACCTATGTATTGTAGAGCAGATTATGTTAGCTGTAGCATAGCCTACCTACCTGTGTATTGTAGAGCAGATGGTGTTAGCTGTAGCATAGCCTACCTACCTGTGTATTGTAGAGCAGATGGTGTTAGCTGTAGCATAGCCTACCTACCTGTATATTTTGCCTTGAGGCGCAGGCTGTTGAGTGTTGGCCAGATGAGAGGGAAATGCTGGTGGTGTTTTAGTCTTCCAGTAACATACTATGCTATTATATTGGGTTGTGTTATATAAAATACTGTGATCATTACTGGATCTTGCAGACATTGATTCAGCTTTATCTAACTTTATTAAACGAGCACCATTCGCCTGAGTATCGCAGAAACTTCGGGAAGCACCGGGTCTTTTAATGTGGTGTCCTAAAGATACAGAAAAAGTGGGATCCGCAGCCGCTCTGTTCAATTTAAAACGCCTTTAGAAAAAACTAAGGATGCTGTACAGCAAAATAAAGTGAAAACAGCAAAGATAAGACAATGACAACTAGGGTTAAAATAAGTAGACTGATGTGTGATGTCAGTGGAACATGTGGTTGTCTTCTCTCTAAAGGTTGTGATGTCAGTGGAACCTGTGGTTGTCTTCTTTCTAAAGGTTGTGATGTCAGTGGAACATGTGGTTGTCTTCTCTCTAAAGGTTGTGATGTCAGTAGAACCTGTGGTTGTCTTCTTTCTAAAGGTTGTGATGTCAGTGGAACCTGTGGTTGTCTTCTTTCTAAAGGTTGTGATGTCAGTGGAACCTGTGGTTGTCTTCTTTCTAAAGGTTGTGATGTCAGTGGAACCTGGACTGGTTTTGTTGCCTTTTCTTTCTAAAGGTTGTGATGTCAGTGGAACCTGTGGTTGTCTTCTTTCTAAAGGTTGTGATGTCAGTGGAACCTGTGGTTGTCTTCTTTCTAAAGGTTGTGATGTCAGTGGAACCTGTGGTTGTCTTCTCTCTAAAGGTTGTGGGTCTGGTGACTCGGAAGGACTTGGCTCGCTACCACCTGGGGAAGCACGGGCTGGAGGAAATGCAACTGGCTCAGACATGATACACACATTATTATTATTATTATTATCACACACACACACACACACACACACACATTATAACACACACAACCGAGAGACTACATTGGTCACCTGTTACCTGTGAGAACCCCATCTATGCATTCTGAAACTCCCGGGGTTAGAGGTCAGGGCTCCCTGTCAATCACCAATGCAGTCCGTCTGACTTTCACCATAACAGCATAACAACTATAGCGTCTCTCTCCCTGCCTGCTCCACCAGGCTATAATGCATCATAAGGCAGTCATAATGCTTCATAAGACTTGTAAGATGATCTTGTCTTTCTATAATTTTATAATGATCCTGACTTGTTACTATCAGCCGTTTTGAGTCCGTTGATAAGTTGCCTTTATAGAAAGACATTATGAGTTTATAAAGCATTATAAGGGCTCATATAGATGCACTATAATGCATTATACCTGTTGGCATTCACGGTCTGGCCCTTCAATGAAGTCTCTCCCTGACGCAACCCGTTAAACCTGTTGATACATCTGTTTTGCACTGTGTGAAAGAAGGAGAGAAAGAGCGAAAGGAAGGAAGGAAGGAAGGAAGGAAGGAAGGAAGGAAGCTGTTATTTATTCTAGACCTGTTTTATGGTATCTTATATTTCTATATATCTTATATAATTTATCTGTAGACGACTGGGAGAGGCTGGTGGGCTACACACGCCAAACCTTGTTAATGTGTTCTGTTATGTCATTTCCAATTAAATTAAGTCTGAGTTCAGACTGCAGGTATATTTTGTACTTTGCGGAGGTTTCACAACATGTTGGAATTAGAATGGATGAATTGAAATGAATTGAATTGATTGTTTTTCATTGGATCACTCCGGGTAACAGTTGGACTGCAGTGATGATCTGTGTCCACTAGGTGGGGTGTGTGAGGTTTAGCTTTCGTAGCAGGACCACAGTGGTTGTGTTATTGAAATGAAGGTAATTTTGACAGTCTATATAGCATGTACAGGGACAGGTGTTTTTCCTGACATAACCAAACCAGGGAAACCTCTGGGCTAGGGTTGGGCGGTATCCAGATTTTCATACCGTTTCTGTACCATACTGAGGTATACGGTACTACCGGAAGTACACACAAATGACACTATTTCAAATTATTATTCATATAATTTTAAAAATCATTTTACGGTATTGAAAATCATACTGTCGGTATTTTGAAATACCCCGGTATACGGTATATCGGTCAAGCCTACTCTGGACCCTCGTCATTATATACTACTGCCTGTATAGTAATGTTATGGTACCTACCCAGAACACTGATTGTGTCCCAAATGGCACCCTATTCCCTATTCCCTATACAGTGCAATGTCTCTCTCTGTCTCTGTCTCTCGCTCTCAATTACATTTTTCAATTAAAGGGCTTTATTGGCATGGGAAACGTATGTTAACATTGCTCTCTCTCTCTCTCTCATCTCTCTCTCTCTCCCTCTCTCTCCTCTCTTCTCTCTCTTCTCTCTCTCACTCTCTCTCTATCTCTCTCTTTCTCTCTCTCTCTTTCATATATATGGTGCCATTTGGGACATAGTCTATTTATTTTTTCTCAAGATGTTTTGCACATTGACCTCCTCTTATAGAAACCTATACATTGCCAATCCTTCTAAAATGGTGTCCTATGAGGATGAATAATCAATGTAAAAATATATGCTATGTTTCCCTGATGTACATTTGAAAACATGATGTATAGATCTGAAGGACAGTATTCAGACAGGGTGGGCTCTGGTCAAAGGTAGGGCATTATATTGGGAATAGGGTGCCATTTGGGAAGCAGATGGTCTGTTTGAATTTCAGTTGGTGTGTCAGTCATTGCTAGCCAGATTGCCAGATATGTTTGTTGTGACAACCACATAGAAAGCTGGCTTGTGCAGAGACAGACCTGGCAACCCGGCAGAATAATTTTAAACAGGGATGACTAATCTTCTCTACAAAGGGCCTGCTGTATTAAATGGCTACCCAAACTCTTTGCTCTGGGCCAAACGCTACGCCACGCCCACAGACGTTAGTTTCTTCTCCGCAATGAGTCTGGATCAGAGTATTTCCCCGACGATGTGTAGAATGGAAATCCATTCTAGACCATCTGATTGGTCCCAGAAACTGATGGGTTAAGCCAGGACACACGTGGCTATAGCAGCGTTTTGAGAATTTGTCATTGGCTTTGATACTCTGATTGGTTAGAGATGATCCAATCACTGATGACTTTGTTTTGTACAACACCCCTCATTTTGACGTCACCGCAAACGACTTAAATGATGGCAGTCTCAGACTGAAGTATGTAGCGAACATAGAGCAGCGGAAGAATTCAGTTTGAGTTGTCAGGCAACCTGCTGGAAGTGTAGGCTTTTGTTCCAGCCAAGCGCTAACACACCTGATTCAACTAATCAGTCTTAAATTATAATAACAATAATTGATTGCATTTATATAATAAAGACCTTGATTAGTTGAATTAGGTGTTACTGTTGGGTTGAAACAAAAACCTGCACATGTAGGGTTAGATTGGACCCCCTGGTTTATTCTTTGTGATGTGATAATTCAGATTTAGAATTGACTCAACCCATTTGGAATCAGCAAATCGACTCGTTTTTTTTTTACATCACATTATTTATAATCAGTTGTTTTTCTTTCAATCCTCTGTTGTTTTGAAGCACTGCCTCGATCACTGGATGATTTAGGATGCGTCTGAAATGGCACCCTATTCCCTATGTAGGTCTCTGGTCAAAAGTAGTGCACTATGTAGGGAATAGGGTGCCATTTGAGATGCACAGCACTGTCTCCTGCTGTTTGTTTGTTTGTACAGTTCTAGATGTTCAGTAAAGATTACTCCCTATTTTACAACCATTTGAAAACCCCTTTTGTGAACTAATAAAGTTATGTATTAATATCTGACTCATGTTGTCTCTTAAAGAGAAAATTGGCCGCGCTGAGTCGCAGACCAATTGTAATTAGCAGCGGTCCTATCGCCTCTGACCACCGAACATTGGACACGATTTTGTATACATTTTCTTGACGATTCTACATGTTCGACCCAGCAGCTGATTTACTGCACACGGTCATCTTATTGAATTTTATACTGTACTATAAATCAAGGGACTGACAGAATGACAAGAAGCACAAAAAACAGTTCAGCAGCACAGAGCAATCTGAAGTCAATAAGGAAGTCGTTCATATTTAGACAGCAGGAGGTGTAAAGCAGACAGACATCTCTATAAATCTCTAAAACATTTCAAAACAAACCTACATGTTAAGGCTCTTAACCTTATCAGACATTTAAAGTATAAGAACCAATGTCCCAGATCATGAAGTGACAGAGGAAACACGACTGACTGTAGACAGGTAACAATGTATTGTCTAGGCGTTAACTTATGTTTAATCACATTCATCTTAGAGGACTCCCTGTTCATGCACTTGCAGGGTTCCCCAACTGGCGGCCCGATGATGGTTTTATTTGGCCCCCCCACGTAAAAAAAAAAAAATAGTTAATTGTTGGACATAAAAGACTGTAAAAACACCAGGAAATCAGCTCCAATTGATTTTAATTTGGAAAATCTGTTCCCAAGTATTCCCACTCGTAATAGAGATACGTGATCATATACAAATGTAAACAAGATTTGAAATGATTATGTTTTAGGCCAATATTATATCTGTGGTCAATTTGCAGTCTACAAATGATTTGTAATTATGTGTGTTCTTAAATTCACTCTGGAGTGCCAGATTGCGCTCAGAGTGCGCTCTGGGTGTTTGTAAATTCAAAGCGTTTCACCCTTGGACAGAGTATGTGAGTGGAGCGGAGCGTGCCCAATTTGGCTTGAGCCCGGCGTGAGATTCCCAAAGGCTGGAGCATCGGTGTCGTCCTTCTCGCCCCTCCAATTACTCTCCAGTAGCGCTCCAGTAGCGAGAGCATGCCTGGCCCAGCATGCATTTGTAGTCTACTTGTGTGCTGCTATAGCCCCTTGCTTTAGCTACTGTCACGGAGTTCGCTAAATATTTTCATAAAGAAACTGATAAAACAAACAGGTGCTAAATCAAGGTGACTTACAAAGATGAGGACCAAGAGCAAGAGAGGGAGAGCGATGATGTAATGTCCACAACCTAAAGAATCATTGTGGAATCTGAAAAGACACGTAACCCCGAAAGCATGATGGTGTACTTACTACGTGCACATGCTAACAGAAAAGAACGAGGTGGATAGATAACTAAGTGTGTCATTGTAGCATTTAATTATTTATAAACTAAAAATCGGATCTCTTCAACGTTTCCTTCATTTTGTTCTATATCTGTACAATAGGCTATCGTTGATTTTGGACCTAGCATATTACCATGTTCAAGGCGCTTATTGTTTTTATTGGGCATCTCTGAACAGCCTGGCAAGAGTGGCCAAAAGGTTGTTTAGCATCCCCAGTGGCTCTGCAAGTGAGGAGAGGATATTCTCAGCTGCTGGCCCGCATGAGCCTGAAGCCACAGACTGGCCAAACTCCTGTTTCTAAAAATGAATTCTAAAAATAAATTCAAAGGCACTAATAAGTCATTTTTCATTTCATTTGTATTTAATTCTAAGTAAGTCACAGCCTATATGCACAATTTATTAAATGAAAATAGGTAACTGCCCCCCCCCCCCCCCCCCCCCCCCCCCCCCCCAGCAAAAATGCTTTGTGGTAAGTTGATGAAATGTTTTGAAATTAAATAAAAAAGTTGTAGATATAATACAATGAAGTTAGATCTATATATATATATATTTTTTTTTTTTTTCTATATATAGAAGTAGGAAAGCCTTAAGATAAATAATCCACATTTTTTAGAGAAAAATGTAGATCATTTTTTGGTATAGCAGTAATAAGTTGAATGAGTGTGTTGGGGGCAACTTGCTTTTTAGCTATTTTACACAGCATTTTCTGTAATATAGCTAGATAGCTAGCTACGTTTTGAGAGAGCTTTTCAATTGGCAACTCTCCCCCTGTTTTCAGTCACAAGTGGGGACTGGAT